GAATCAGCAAGCGCGAGCAGAGTATCGCTGACGACGCGGACTTGGACAAGAGGCACCCTTGCACCTGGCAGAGCAGCAGACTGAGGAGAGAGCAGAAAAGCCGAAAGACGAGGTGAAGTGTCACGCAAAGCAACAGCGGGTCGCGGGGGATCATACCAAACGTCAAAGGCAGACGTTGACCCGGGAAACGGCACAGGCCGACCCTCCAGATCGAGCCCGTTGAACAGCGGTGTCCTTGGACTAAACTGCAGAACGCGCTGCATCCCGGCCAGCAGGACCGAAGCACAGGTTGCGGTGTGGGTAGGAGTAATGACGCACGCTGCAGTTTCTGAGTGCTGACGTTTGCAGAGGTGGTACGCAGCCAGCTGCGCCTGCAACTCTGAAATAGAAGAGGGGAGGAAGAGAACCGTATGCCCACGCAGGTCGTTAGCAGAGAGGGACTGGGAACGCGGTACAAGCGGATTACACAAAGCATCCCCGTCACTTTTCGCAGAACGAGCATCAAACGTCAGCTTTCGTCCAATAGCTCGCTCAACCTGCGCTAACACAGAGGGCAGCAGTGCCCTGGAAGCCCGCATGGCAGGCAGCTCGGTCCCTACTTCTAACCCAGGAGGAGTCCCCTCCTCAGCGACCTGGGCAACCCCCTACTTCTTCTTGGGCCACAACGGGCAAACCCCCGTCGAATGGCCATCCCCACAACGCATGCACTTATTTCTCTTCCTGCGCTCTTCCAGCTCTGCCTTAGTGCAGCAATACTTCTCTAGCCACTGGTCGTCGTCACGTTTGCGTTTCTGTCCCATCTGCTGACTAGGCCCAGCCTCGGAAGGACCCTGATTACTTCTAGGACCCTTTTGCTGCCACCGGCGCTGTTCCCGGGGACCCCCCCTCGGCTTACCGGCACCCGGGGCGGCAACTGTGCCACCCTCTCTGCGCTCAGGACCCCCGACAGCGACAGCAGCACGAGGACCGGGTGCCGGCGCCTCAGCAGGGGCGCCAACCGGGTTCAGCTCCGGGGCCTGCGAAAAGAGGGCATTAGCACGGGGAGCAGAACGAAAAACTTGCTTTCGGGCAAGGTGGCGCATTTCTACGCCCAAAGCAAAACGGTAAAGGTGGTTGTAAGAGGAAAACGGCATTCCTAAAAGGTCGGTAGCGCATTCGCCTATGAGTTCTTCAGATAGTCCGCGTTGAAACCAGAAAATTCTCTCTCCTTCTGTGAAGTCCGCAATAGGCGTAATAAGTGCCTCGAAACGCGACTGGTAGGAAGAGACGTTCTCGCCAGGGCGCATACGGTACGTACCATTCGCAAGAACGGAACGAGCTTCCACGTCGCGGGGCAAGACTTCAGGAGCAAAACGGGCAAGTAACGCAGTAAATAGCTCGTCCGAAGTGAACGAAATCCGTGCCGTTGACCACTGATCATACCAGGCTTTGGCGGCACCGTCCAAAGCGTTGGCGATGAACAGGCAACGAACCGGCTCCCGATCACCACCTCGAACTAGCTGGAGATATTGCCTCGCATCCCTAACGAATGCACGCGTACTATCCGCCGCAGCACGACCTAAATCACGAGTTCGAAGGTCGGTAGAAAAATTCAACCTAGGTACTGGGACGGAAAGTCTAAGTACCTCGATGTCCTGCACCGGTAAGGATGCAGCAGCCGTGGGAGCCCTTTCTGCGCCGCCAGCGCCGTGTGCAGAGGAGGCTACAAGCATCGGCGGCGGCGGAACAGCGGCGATAGGTGTGGGATCCTGTGCTACAGGAGGCACTGGGATAGCGGCAGGGTTAATAGGAACTACCGGGGCAGCGATAGGGACTGTCCGTGCGGGACCACCCTCAACGACTACATCTGGCGGACCCCAGCGATTTCGCCAAACCCCATCCGCTACGTTCCAGGAAGGGGGAACTACACTTAAAGTTCCCTGCTGACCATCCCCGGGGACAGGTAGAGGCGCGTTTCCGGAGTTGGCAGGCAACATGACGAAGCGGTCCAACCCGAAAAGCGAAGTAAAAAGAGGTGGCTAAGGTAACCCTACCGAAAAGTAAGACTCCCTCAGCACAGCGATGGACGGCCTCGATTGCTTGCAATGCACCACGGGAGAGGTGCACAAGCTCGCGCAAGCGAGGGATCGCAGCGGAGGTAGGAATAGCAGAACCCGCTACAACAAGAGGGCCCGCGGATGCGGCGGCAGCCATCACAGCATTGCCGAGGTCAGCAGCAAAAGTCGCCAAGGGGCCGAAATCTTCCGAATCAGCCGATGTAGCCTCTTCACTAGGGAAGTTCATACTAGTGCCAAATGAAAGAAAGAGTGCGGAAGCGGAGATGAGACTGGTCCGTAAGGAACCCGTCTCGATACCAGATTTGTTGTAGACTTCAGACGACACAACCACATAATGGGGGCATCGAAAGATACCGATTGAGACAAGTGTCTTGAATAAGTAGTCATCAGTGACTCCACTTGGGCCTCGCGCCGATAAGGATTCCCAGTACGACTGGGCGGTGCCGAATCCAGAAGCCATAGTTCGCAGGAACTACTCTTGCTCGGTCAGACGAAACTGGGACGCAGGTCCCAGCTTTACGTAAGTAAAACCCCCGCCCATACGTAGGTATGGACTTCCGCAGTGGTGCGGCATTAAGGTGGCGGACGACTAACAGTAGTCGCTTAGCCGCCGTCGCCCATACACTTCCGCAGCAGTGCGGCACTTGAATGGCGGACGACTAACAGTAGTCGTTTGATCCGCCGGCGCCTATGGACTTCCGCAACAGTGCGGCATTTGGATGGCGGACGACTAACAGTAGTCGCTTAGCCGCCGTCGCCCATGCACTTCCGCAACAGTGCGGCACTTGAATGGCGGACGACTAACAGTAGTCGTTTGATCCGCCGGCGCCCATGGACTTCCGCAACAGTGCGGCATTTAGATGGCGGACGACTAACAGTAGTCGCTTAGCCGCCGCAGCTAACAGTAGCCGCAATTAAACTAATATCAATATTAGTTAATACCTGTAAGCACCAACCGCGGAATTGACGGGTTGTTAGTTAGTAATATTGGAGTTTGGTAAATTGGAGTGGACGAGCTAACCACCGGCAGTTAGGTTTCGGCGCCCAAACCGTTGCGGAAAACCTTTACAGGATACAACATAGTAGCTCTGCCCAATCTAGGAACTCCTGCCATGGCTCCTTGTACTGGGCGACTGTGCTGCTAGCTCGCGCCTTGTGCGCCTGGCTTGCCA